TAAAGGTAATTCTATTAAAGAATATAAGTATCCTTTTAATAAGGACAAGAAACCTTATAAATAGGGAGATAAAGGGTTTAAAAGACCTAAAGAAAAGGTTAATAACCTAGAATTAAACCTATAGCCTATTAAAGGCAGAGAAAAGGCAACTTTTACTATAGCCTACTAGACTAATAAGCCTCTAGAAGAGGATAACTAAGAAGGTTAATATTATACTTATAAGGCTTATCTTAACTACTTAAGTTAACAAGATAACTAGTTATATAATATAGGTTTAATAGTCTATATATTAAATAATAAGAACTATTTTATAGACTTATTAACTAAGGAAAATATTCCTATAGTTAATATAGGTGTAAGACCTATTAGACCTAAAGGAATAGAAACTATAATACTTCCTATATACTTTAAAGGGGAAATTAAATATATAAGGTTAAATAATACCTTATATATACTAGAATTTCCTATATCTATATTTTTAGGCCTTCTACACTATAAAGAAGGGAGATTTCTTATTAACTAGAATCTCTGTGACAGTAATAGAGAGCCTTTTACTAATATTAATATAGTAAAGAGAGGCTTTTATCTAAATATTACTAGACCTCCTAAAAATAATCTTCTATATAATATAAATATAAAAAAAAGAAAGCCCTTCTATATCTCTAGAAAATACTAGAGATAATATATCTTCTAAAGAAGATAATACCTCTTTAAAAACAAAAGAAGAGGTATATACTACTATAACAGAAGAATAGTATTAAAAATTAGCTTATCCTTTTTACTTTTACTTAGTTAAAATAGCTAAGTTAATAAAGGGAATTCCTTTAGATAAACTAAAGAAAGAAGATTTAAACTACCCTAATTATATTTCTTCTAAGTTAACTAGGTAATAGCCTAAGATTAACTATAATAAGGTAACTATTCCCTTAGAAAAAGTATATATAAATACTCTTAAAATAACTTTTACTTCTATAAATAGATATAACTATACTATTCTATTTATAGATAATTATTCTAGCCTTAGAGAAATAGAATTCTTTAAAATAAAGAGGATATAATTAATATCCTTAAAAATAAGCTAGAATATTATAAAAATTAGGGGTATAGTTATCCTAAGCGTTTACGCTTAGATAATAACACTAAATTTAATATAGGGGAATTATCTACCTATATTAAAGAAAAAGGCATTATTTTAGAGCCTTTTACGCCTTATACACTAGAATAAAATAGTATAGTAGAAAGAACTAATAGGCTATTCTAGATAAGTCTAGAACTATTATAGTAGTAAATAACTTACCTAAGTTTCTATAGGATATAATTCTTAAAGAAACTACTAAGTTATTAAATTATACTACTATAAAACGTCTAGATAAGACCCCTATAGAGGCTTTTTTAGACTATTATTATCCTAATAAAGATAATAAGCTAGACTTATCTAATATATATAAAATAGGCTTTAAGGTCTTAATATATAGACCTAAAGAAAAGCGTATTTAGTTAAATAAACTAAATACCTATACAAAAGAAAGTATTTATTTATCTATAGAAGAAAATAATATATATACTATATATATTTCTTCTAGGCCTTATAGGTCCTCTATAGTAAGGACCTTATATATTAAATTTATAGAAAGTACTATAAAAGAGAAAAAAAAAACAACTATTCCTTCTAGTACTTCTATAAATAAATAAATTATTCCTTCTTCTAATATAAAGGTTAATATACCTTTTATATCTAAAGAAAAAAAGGATAAATATAAGGCCTATAATAATACTATAGAATATAACTATAGTATATAACCTCTAGAGCCTACTACTTTAAAACAAGCTCTAGAAGGCCCTAAAAAAGACCTCTAGCTAAAAGCTATATATAAAGAACTAGCTACTATTATTTAAAGAGGCACTTTAAAAGCAGTAGAACCTAAAGAAGCATATAAGTCTTCTAAGGTACCTTTAACTACTAAATAAGTCTTTAAAAAAAAATTTAATATTAATAATAATATTAATAAATATAAGGCTTACCTCTATATTAGAGGTTTCTAGTAAAAATATAGGCTTAATTATTTTTAAACCTTTGTTATAGGTAGTAATCCTACTACTTATAAAGTATTATTAGCTTTAGCAGTAGCCTTAGACTAGGAAATCTAATAAATAGATATAGTTAAAGCCTTTTTATATAGAGACTTAGAAGAAAAGGTCTATATAGACTATTCTAATATTCTTTTATTTAATTTCTTTATTAAATATCCTAATCTAAATACTATAGGTTAGGAAAATAAAGATTAGATATTATTACTTCTTAAGGCTTTATATAGCCTTAAATAAGCTCCTAGGCAGTAGTAATTAAAGATAAAATTTATATTAAAAATATAGGTTTTATATCTTTAAAGTTAAATAAAGCTACTTATTATAACTAAGATAAAAATAATTCTTATTATATTATTACCTATATTAATAATTTTCTTATACTTAATAAAGATATTAAGTATATAAAAAATATTAAAGGTAAAATCTCTAAATATATAGAGATATAAGACCTAGGCAAAGTTTCTAAGTTTTTAGGGCTATATATAACTAGAGATAGATCTAAAAGGTCTATAACTATCTCTTAAGCCTATTATATCTAATAGCTTTTAAAAAGGTTTAACTTATTAGAAGTAAAAATAAATAATATACTTATATTAATAGGTATATTAAATAGCCCTTTAAGCAACAAGATAAAAGGATATATTCTTCCTAAGGACCTATTAAAAGAATATTAATAACTTATAGGTTCTCTTATATACACTATATTTATAACTAGGCTAAATATAGCCTATAGTGTATCCTTTACTTCTTGTTACCTTTATAACCCTATAGAATTCCTACCTAAGTAAAGAAAAAGTATATTAAGATATTTAAAAGAGACTATTAATTATAATATTACTTATAAAGGTAATATAGATAATAATAGCTTTAATAATACCCTTAACCTAGTAAAATATACTAATTCTAACTAGGTAAGTTATAAAGAAACTAAAAAATCTACTTCTAGTTATCTTTTTACTTTACTTAGAGAGCCTATTAGTTAAAAGTTAAAAAAATAGTTAACTATCTCTCTATCTACTACTAAGGCTAAATTTAATAGCCTATAGAAAGCTATTAGAGAGGTAGTTTAGTTAAAGGGCTTATTATCTAAAATAGGGTATAATATAACCCCTATTACTATTAAAACAGATAATAATATAGCCTTAAGCTTAGCCTATAACCCTAAATATTATTAGAGGACTAAGTATACTACCTTATATTATTATTATACTTGTTAAGAGATTAAAAAAGATAATATAGAAGTAGAATATATACCTACTTCTTCTATACTTACTAATAGCTTAATAAAACCTCTTCCTAAGGTTAAATTTTAAGAATTTATTAAGCTAATAGGCTTATATAATAAAAATAAGTCTAGATAATATACCTATATATTAGTATATTTTTCTTAATATTTTTAGGACTTTTTCTTAATAAGTTATTATACTTATTAAGACTTACTACTAAATATTATATTCTATTCTAGGGTACTTTTTATACTCTACTTTACTTTATAATAGAGTAAAAGAGGGAGTATTAGAAGTATAAGAACTAAGAGTATCTCTTATACTCTTAATACTTCTTTATCTTATATTTCCTCTATTATAGAGGTTATATATATATAAGATATATATATATAATCTACTAACTTAGTAAATTAATATATATATTAATTACATAAGTATATCTAATTATATAATTACTAGAAGATAAAAAAAGATACTAGAATATCTAAGAAACCTCCTCCTAACACTATCTCTTTAACAAGGTTACTACTTTAAGTTAAGGTTATCTAACTAAGGTTATTAAGTTATATAATCTTAGGGTAATTTCTAAGTAGCTTATATAAGTATAGAATATTCTAGTAAGCTAAGTATAGCTATATAAGGGCTAGATTTCTTCTTATTTTTATCTTATCTTATTCTCTCTCTAAGTAAGTAAAATTAGAATAGTTAGTAATAAAATAATAAGACTAACTATTATACTCTCTTTATATCTATATCCTTATATCTCTATATTTACCCCTGTTATCCTATATTCTTGCTTCTATAGGATATATCTTTATATAAGAGATAAACTCTCTTATATACTATTAGGCTATTATTCTCTCTAAGAGATCTAAGCCTACCTGTTGTGCTAACACTTACTAAAACCTTAAGGCTTTAATAACGTAATAAACTAAGGTAGTAGAGGAGTACTTTAGAAAGTTCATAAACTCTAATTAGAGTATTAGTATATAACCTTTTAAAGTACGATCTATATATAGACGTTTTCTATCTAGTGTTTAAGATTAGTTTAATATACCCCTACTGTAAAACTCTAAAAATTGTGGTTTTTTAACCCGAAGAAGTAAGGACTGTAAATGCGGTAGTGAGTGTAAACAGGGGCACCTTCGCTACTTTTAGCCTCTCAGTGTATTCAACACGAGGATTGCACACATAGTAATTCAGCTGCCCTACTGCTATTACACGTCGCCCTCCACAAACCGCGAGCCCGATAACGTCTACTCTATTGCCGCTCTTTGACCCGCCATACTCCTGCAAGAGGTTAGACTACCTTCACTCACAAGCTTAACTACCTTTTCAGGAAAAGGCATAAATAATCGTAGGTTAAACAGATCCTCAGGTCTCGTCAGGGATGAAGTGTTTGCATACCAGTTGTTCGAATCATCTCATCTCTCTAATTTCACTCCTCTCCCGTCCGCATATCTCAGCACGATCAACGAGCCCTCCACCGCTGTCCTAAATCACTGAATACCGTGCTGGCCAATGTACAGGATGGAGTCCGTTGGCACTCAAGAACGACCAGTCTTGGTCTTTGGCGACCAGACAGACGACTTCCTTCCGACTTTGCAACTTCTCTACTCCCAAGCCCCGTGTAGCCCATGGCTGCAGGTATTTTTACAGAGGGCAACGTCCCTCGTGCGGGACGAGATGGATGCGCAACCGTCTTCCAAGGGGGCTTGTCCGAATGATTTCACCGATTTGCTGCAGCTTGCCGAACACGTCTTAGCAACAGATGCCTCAATGGATGCCGTGTTGGTGACGATAATGCGCGCGGGTGTTCTAATTCAGTTTGTCACTCTGCACTCCTCGGTTGCTTCATGTTGACTCACCCATTGTCGCAGGTATGCCGCATCCAACCCCGAGATACTCTCGTCAAAAGCGCCCATCTGCGCGGCGGCTGTCTGCGGCGGCTTGCTAAACGCTGTCACATTTCTATCTGCTCATGACATGGCCTCGCTACACCAGTCCAGCCTTGATTCGATTCGGATGGTTTTTCGCCTATGTCAAGTTGTTGACTTGAGGACAAAGTCGATATACAATGGCCCTGGCAGCTGGGGTTGGTATGTATCCGGTGTGGATGCCACCCGGTTGCAATCTTTCTTGGATTCGTATCACGAAACTCAGGTGAGTGCATCGACGTTGGTTGTCATTATTGAGGCGGATTGTTACTAAAACGGTTACCAATAGAGCACGGCACAGAATGAAAAGATGAAAATAGCCGGCACAGGGCTAGAAGAGTCATGGCACACCGTCGTCGGTCCGCCACCCGTCCTGGAACACTTCTTCAGCACCAACCAACTGGTCAAGACGCTTCCCAGTTCAAAGCTGCGAATAAGGGGCGTTTTACATGTCATCTCGGACGTTACCCAAGCCGAGATCGATCACATAACCGCCGGAATGACTTCTGTGCTTGCCATGCTCGACAGCCCTGTCCCACGCGCAAACGTTGATCTGATATCCATAAGCCAAGGTGGTTTGCTCTCAGCGCCGACGTGGAGAAGTCTTCTATCTCTAATTGTCCGGGATATGCTGGGCCAGCCTCTTAACATAACCAAGGGCCTAGGCGACCTCAAGTTGGCTCTCAAAGACGCCATATCGCTGCGGCTCTTCTGCGTGGGGCCTTCGGTTCATATCCCGACCATGTGTGCGTATTTGGAGTTTGATTGCGACAAGATTTTGAGCGTTGAGAAGGAACCCAAGTCACCATATCCAAATGCTCCGGAATCAGGGCAAATCTCGGAAGAAGTAGCCGTCGTTAACAAGGACGAAAGCGAATCATTGGATACGTTGACCAACATCTCGGCTCAAACGGCCCGGATGCCGAGTCCCACGATATCAAAAGCAAGAAGCACAACAACACTCACCGGCTGCGACGAGGTGGCCACCAAACCATCGGTTGTAAGCCCCGGGGTTACTACCGGTGGTCCAAAGGCCAACATTGTCCTCTTGCACGGCCGCAAAGCATCGGGACCCACGCCACTCTTCCTATTCCCAGACATCACTGGCGGCGCATTAAACTACATGTTCCTGCAGCCGCTTCCCGATGACCGGGCTCTGTATGTTCTGGAATCTCCGTACCTTGATAGCGGCGAAAGCTTCACATGTGGAGTCGAAAAGGTCTCAGCACTTTTCAAGCAGGCAATAGTCGACGCGCATCCCGCAGGCAACTTCTTCCTGGCGGGGTATTCGGTCGGCGCCGTGTACGCATACGAAACGGCGAGGCAGTTGATCGCCGAGGGACACAGCGTGCAAGGACTGCTTCTGTTTGATATGGCGGTTCCGCTACTACGTCCCAACCCGGACGTGCTGCCAGCCATCAAGCTGCTTTTCTCCCCGCCCATGCTGAAATCCAGCATTTCGGCCAACCCGGCGGTTCAACGCAGCCAGGAAGCTCACATGGCGCACATGGTGCGCAGTGTTGCCGAATACGACCCGCTTCCCATGCCGTCAGATCGCCGTCCGAGCCGCGTCTGGCTACTATGGTGTAGCCGTAGCGTTATAGAGCGGCTCGGCGATGACGACTGCAAGTATCTGGGCCAGAGCGGCTTTGTTATGGAGCAGGTGCCTGGGTTCTTGGAGAGCCCAGCTATTGGTCCGCTAGCTTGGATCACAGCGCCAGGAAAGCCGCCAGGGCCGAATGGCTGGGATAGGCTTGTCGGTGGTCAAGTGAAGTGTGATTCGATTGATGCTGATCATTTTAGTATGCTTGTCACGCCTGATGTCGCCAAGTTCCAGAAGGCGATCCAGGATGGTTTGGTATACTGCAGTGGTGTTTGATCCGTGTTAAATGTACAAAAGATAGAGTGCGGCGCCAGATTGTTATCATCATTGCAACATTTCTTCCCTTATGGACTAGGGTCTCTATTTCACAATTTGTCCCTATTAAACTGGTGGGCCAGATTGCTTATGTTTGGATCACTGTTGCTCGTTAAATCCGCTTTTGTTGAATCGTAGGGATTTTAATGGTATATTGGTTGGTTATGACGTGATGATGTACGCGTACAAATCTATCCTTCGCGAGGGAATCACCTAGCAAAGGTATCCCTTTGTGACGAAACCACGGCGAATCCCTGACTTATTATTAGTGTAATGCACGGCAAAAGTAGAATAGATCCGCGGTCGTATAGATTGCTTATATACTCGCTGTAGGATTATACTTTATCTATTAGTTTCTCTTGAACAAACTAGTAATTAATAGTACTAATAGGGATATTATAGGCAGGCTAGAGTAACTTAATGTAATATAAAGTAAAAGTTTTAATAATAATACGCCTGTAATAACATCTTTATACTAAGGGGTAGGACAACTATGTCACAGGACAATGTGGCCAACCTTTGGATCTACTTTCTTGGCCTTGCCAGTGGATCCATCGGTCAGGCCGATATCCTGCCGACAGCTGGTGCCCCACTGGGCCCCACCTGTCGCCAGTCTATAAGACCAGCCGTTGCCAGCCGTAGCTCTAGCTCTTAGTTAGTCATTAAATCTATTACCTATTTAACTATGTTAAGTAGTAGTATAACCACTAGTTATAATACTATAGGTAATTAACCCTTTGCTACTATTAAATTTATAATAAGAGGTAAATATACTAAATTACTATTAAGAGCTATTTAATTAGTTATCTTAAAGGTAACTAATTAATTAAAGGTATTTACTTTACTAGCCTAGCTACTAATATACGCTTACTAGTAGATTTTTTTACTACTATTAGCCTACGCTAGACTAACCTATCTAGCTAGATCTACTATACCTCTAGCTACTAACACTAATACTACTATTATTAACCTTTACTTTAATAACTTTACTTTTCTTACTCTTCTTTATACTCTTTTACTTCTATTACTTCCTTTGTTTTCTTGTTAAGGTTACTACTACTAAAGCTACTATTAATTAAAGCCCTTAAATAATAATAATAATAAAGTTACTAGCTAAAGCCCTACTATAAATATAGTACTAGATTTCTCTTAAGATTTACACTTTTTTACTATATATATACTAATAACTATAGCTAATAATATTATTATTAACTTTACTATTAAGACTTTATATCTTAAAATACTCTTTTTTACTACTTACTAGACTACTAGCCCCTATTACTTTTACTTTTAAAGACCTTATTACCTTTATTAACTTTACTTTTACTACTATTAATAATAATAGTCTTATTACTACCTTTAACACTTTTATTACTAACTATCTTATTACTAATAAGTAAATAGTCTATATTACTAGTAGTACTAACCTTTTTTACTACTATAAGATTTAATACTACTATTAATACCTTTTACTAAAGGATAATACTAATATAAAACTATAAGGATATACTTTACTACTAGTATAAATAAGTAATAGATATATAAAACCTTTAGCTAGTAGTAAGATACTTAAAGCTACTACTACTAATACTATTACTAATATATACTTAACTAACGTCTACCTAGTAGGCCTAATACTACTATAAGTTATATACCTAGCTATACCTTTAAAAGCTATATTAACTACACCTTAGATTTAGAGGAGGTTATTTAGCTAGAGGTAAACCTATCTATTAGTGCCTTTAAGAACAAAAGGAGAAAATCTAGTCCCTTTAGTAATAAGTCTACTAGCTACTACTGTACCTACTACCTTATAAAGCTACCTAGTACTATAGTTAAGATACTTTAGATAAAGATAATAAGAACAAAGATAATAAAGATAATAATATTAGTTATACTATAGAAATAGGTCTCTAGGATAATAATAATAGATCTATTTATATAAGGGATTATTACTATAACTTTAATAAATCTAATAGCTAACTAGTATATTAGAGGTATTATAGTACTAAGTAGAGAAGTCTACAAATAGTATAGTTAGAGGTTAATTATAACTATTTTCTAATCTACCTTCTCCTAATTCTCCTGTTTTTATAAACTTTACTTTTATATAACCCTTAGATAATAGTTTTCCTAGTTGTAGCCCTATAGCTAGTAGTCCCCTAGTGCCCTCTACCTTTAGCACTTAATATAATCCTTTCCCCTTAAGGTCCTGTCCTTAGGACCTTAAGTAGTACTCTAGTAGGCCCCTAGGGCTTTACTACTAGCTAGTATCTTAGAGGCGTCTAGGAACACCTTTAGGCTTAGTAGGTTACTAGGTAAATAGCTATCTCTCTAGCTAGCTAATTACCTTTAACTTTGCCTTTATAGCTATTATAGTCTAACTAGGCTAAGACTATTACTTTCCTAAGGTTATAGTTATTCTTAGCTAAGTTATAAGCCTCTATTACCTAACTAGCCTTACTAGAAGTTACTTACTTTATAATAAGGATACCTTGTCTACTTATAATACTTTATTACCTTTTATCTTTTTAACTATAATACCCTCTTAGGTACTATATACCTTTAGTAGGCCTTTATTATATAGTTACTTTTTTATTACTTCTATTTCTTATAGCCTAAGCCTTAAGTTATATTACTTTTATAATAAAAGAAAGCCCTTATTTTACTTTTAGTAGACTACACTAGTAACCTTCTAGGTTTATTTTTTTTTCTTCTTTACTGTTTTTTTTTTACTTTATAAGCTTAAGATACTATTATAACTTACCTTATTATTCTTACTTAGCCTAATTAGGTAACCTTTTTAGCTTTACTTTTCTTTTAATTTTTTACCTTTAATTTTTTTCTTTTTTTTTTCTTAATAGCCTTACTTTATTATTATTTTTATTTTTTTATTTTACTACTACTATACTATTACTACTACTACCTAGTAGTAATAGTAATAATAATAGCACTAGTATTAGTACTAGCTTCTTTACTATACTATATCTTTCTTTACTTTTACTAATTTTTACTAATAATATACTACTACTACTATAGCCTTACTACTACTAGTCTTACTAACTAAGGTAGTTTTACTAGCCCTCTAGTGCCTTTTTTTACTTTATTACTCTCTACTACCTTTACCTATATTAAAAAGAAAGCTTATTATAATATACCTTATAACTACTATATTTACTAAATAACTAACTAGTGTCCTAGTATATTAGGCGCCTATACTACTACTTTTTTTACTATATAAAGACTACTATATACCTTCTTTTACACCTAGTGCTCCTCTAGTGTCCCCCTTTAGTACTTTAGCTAATATATCTTAGCTATAGTAATAAGTATACTTATTATACTACTATATATAGTAAGCCTATATTCTAGTATATTTACTTTTACTTTTATTATCTTTATAACTTTTAGTAGCTACTAACTTCTTAAATAGGCTACTTATACTACTATTATAGCTAGTATTAAGCTATACTACTTTTTAAGGCTATAAACTATTTTACTAAGCCTACTTATATTTACTATAGTATTACTATATATTTACTTTCTTAGTGCTCCCCTAGTAACCTTTTATACTAACGTTAGCTTAAGACAAGATTAATAAAGCCTAGGTTATAGCTAAAAAGTACTTTAGTACTAAGTTAACTTAGCTAAGGCCCTTAATACTAAGTATAAGGCTAAGGCTAAAGAGAAAAAGTAGCTTTTTTATTAGTACTATATTATAGCCTTTAAGACTATTACTAACTTTTTTTACTACTAGGTTAAGCTAGCTAAGTTTATACTTTATATTACTAAGGTTACTATTATAGCCTTTAAGGCCTAGATTATTACCTTCTAGAAGTAGACTACTACTATTATAGCCTAGACTACCCTCTTTTTAAAGTAGTCTTAGACTTACTCTTAGGTTATAAGTATTTTTTCTTTAATATTTACCTAGTGCCCTCTTAGTACCTTTTATACTAGTTATTAACTTTTTTTTAGTATACTAGTAAGCTTAAATCTAAAGCTAGTAAAAATAAAAGTAGTACTTTTATATTCTTTATATTTTTTACTTATAATAATAATAATAATAATAATAATAAAAATATTAGTAATAGTAATTTAGAAAATAATAAGTAAAGTAGTAAATAAGTTTTACTACTACTACCTTTAGTATCTTCTAGGTCTTTTTCTTTATTTTTTTTTTTTACTTATTATAGCTTTTAAATACTTAGCCTTTAGGCTACCTATATTTTTTAGCCTTTATACTATAATAATTAAATCTTTAATCTAGTTATCTTTAGGCTAATCTTTACTTAGCTTAATTATACTCTTGTCTTCTTTTAGTAACCTTTTACTTATAGTTATATTATAATCCTTTTATAATATTTCTTTAAGGTTCCTAAGAGTTTTCTTTTTTACTATACCCTTTTTACTTAATAAAGTACTACTAATTTTACTATAGCTTTTTATAGGCTATAATTTAATTTACTTTATATATATTTTCTTTTTTTTCCTTAATTAGTATTAGTTAAGACTTTACTAGTAATCCCTAGAACTTCTTTAGCTAAAATAAAGAAAAAATATTATAGATTTTATATCTAGTACTTATATTTATTTTATAGGCCTTACCTTTATTAACTACTTACTTTACTATAAAGAGGCTAAAGTACTTATTTAATAGCTTTTTAGATAGTCTCTTTTACTTAATAAACTTAGCTAATAAAAAGACCTTCTCTTTAACTTTAAAGTCTATATTAGACCTCTTAGCGTTATACTACTTTTTATAGGCCTAATTAACTACCTTTAATATCTTACTAATTATAGTTCTCTAGCTTTATAGTTACTTTACTCTCTTGTAGGCCCTAGGGACCTTTATTAGTTTTACTTTTACTAGGCATATATTATATATACTCTATAGTATATAGCCTATTAGTACCTCTACTAGTATAACCTTAGTTATATTATACTATAAACTATTATAA